CACTTTTGTGTTTCAGAAAAAATATCCAGACTTTTCTAGTAAAGTCATCAATGAAGCTAATGAAATATTGATTCCCGGATAAAGACAAGGGTATTTGGGGTGAACCCCACAAGTCAGAGTGGACATATTCAAGCACATCATAGGATTTATAAGATGCATTAGGAAATCTGAGTCTATGGGCTTTACCAAATGTGCAGCTTTCACAGAAGCCAAGATCTTTTACTTTCTCTGGTTTAATCTGACTTTACTTGCACAATTCTTGAAGACCTTTTGAGCTGATATGTCCCATTCTCCTATGCCAGGTAGTCATCTCATCTTGTTCTATAGTGGTCACGACAGCTTTCCCAGTTAGGACAGTTCCTTGTAAAATGTACAGACCCTGCTTCATAGTCCCCTTCATCACCATCTCTTTATCCTTGAAGACCTTGAGGGTACCTGCACCTGAAGCATATGTTAACCCTTTTGCATCGAGCAAACTCAAGGAGACCAGATTTCTTTTCAGGTCTGGAACATATCTCACTTCCTGAAGGGTCTTTAAACTGCCATCCCACATCCTGAACTGAATTGAGCCAATACCAGAAACTTGACATGTCATGTCATTTCCCATAAGCACTTTACCTCCATTCAGGGACTTATACGTGTAGAACCAGTCCCTCCTGGGTGTCATGTGGTAGGTGCAGGCTGAATCCAATATCCATTCTTTGTGATCATCAATGGAGGACACCATTAGAGCAGTGGTAACCTCACTTTCTGCAATAGCAGCAATGACCTCTGAGTCTCCATTTTCTTTCAGTTTCTTGAGCCTTGATTTGCAAAATCTTCTGATATTACCTTCTTTGTTGCAAAAGTAACAAGTCAATTTCTTGTTAGACTACGATTTTTGCTTGTTTTTGTAACAGTTCTTGCCCTTCTTGGTATACTTCTTTTCTGATCTTGCGTTAACATAGAGACCATCTCCATTCCCCTTTCTTTCAGTCTTAATCTCAAGATCTCTTATCCTGAGGGCAGCGATCACATCATCTAGAGATACATTTTCTCTGCCATACTTAATGGCATTCTTGACATCTTTATAAGAATCAGGTAAGGAGTTCAACACGAGAATGGCTTGAGTATTATCACTCAGTTCTTCACCACTGTCAGTAAGATCAATTACCAATTTTTGAAAATCATCAAGATTATCTTCCAAAGATTTTGCAGAGTTCATTCTAAAACTGAAGAGTTGTTCCTTTATATATGCAATTCCAGGAACTGATTGGGACATATATAAAGATTCAAGTTTAAGCCAGAACTTAGCCGCTGTGTCTTCGTTTCTGACTTTTCTCATCACGTTATCAGAGAGGTTCAAGATGATTGTACTGTACGCAAGTTCCATCATATCTTCCTTTTCCATTTGAGTCAAACTTGGAGGCATGTTCTTCTCTCCACCGAGAGCACGATGGCATTTCTGTTGCACAAGAATTGCCTTCATCTTCTGTCTCCAAAGGACAAAATCCATTTTCTTGTCATATTTCTCAACTTCAACCTTCGTACCACCCAGCTCTGAAATCTCTTCTTCTTTTGCAGAACAACTCTTACTCTTCAGGAAACAATCAACCTAAAGCTCTGATACCAATCTGTTGAGGATATTAACTAGAAATCCTCCAAGAAAGAGTTCAAGACAATAAAGATTACCAAGAAGAACATCAAAACAGAGATCGGAGGAAAAACAAAGAAAAGATGGAAGTACACGTTGTTTACTTGGTTCGGATTTAACTCAAGAATCCTACTCCACGGCAGGGTTTGTAAGGCCCTAGTTCGTCCACTATAATGAAGTCTGATACAATCACTAATCTGAGAATTACAATATTGAAAGCCTAACTCTCATGCCTCTCACTGATTGATTTTTTTCATTACTTACAGAAGGTACAGACCACCTTCTTTATACATGAGCCTAAAGGGAAGATATGGAGGTTATCATAGCTGTGTGATCTTAGCTAGGTTAGTTAGCAAATAACTAACGTAACAAACGCTAGCCATGCAGCTGAATAATCGTCTCATCCTCTTAACAGAATAAGAGGCATACTCCAACAGTAAAAAGTGAAATGGGCAAGTTCCAAATGTCCAGGAGAAGTGTGATAGATAGAGGTTGGAGAGACAGAAATGTTGAGGTGTGAAAGTGGGGGTCGAGAAGGGAGTGAGGAAATAAAAGAGTTACAAATGGCGTGAAACTGGAGGATATCCGTTCTTTTGTGGAAGCGTTTTGCGATGGAGATGAGTAGGTCTTCTGGAAGAGAGGACCAATCAGATGAAGAACTATCCACGCTTGGCGAAGAAGAAGATGACGATGATGTTGATGATAATTGATCTTGATGGAGTACTCCAGTTAATTGTTGGTGCAATTTACAGTATCTTCCTTTATTCCTTCTCCAACAAGCAAGAAGAAGGATGAATCTAAAGTGATTGATGGGTTACGCAGTTGAGGAGTCCATATTTGTAGTTTAAAGATACTCAATTTGTCGTTTTACGGATTTTCACATGGCTGTAGGTCTGAGTATGACACTTTTTCTTTCAAAAAACTTATGGGTCTATGAAACATGCTCAAACCTGAGAAGGATCGATGTAATTTCCACGTCTCTACAACTTCACTGCAAAAATTCTATTTTATTTGTCAAATGTACCGGAAGACAAAGAAATAAACTGTTAGCTTGAACACTAACATGTCATTGAACTGAAACCGTGCTATTCCTAATGCCATGATCGGGCAAAAAAATGGTAATCTGAGTCTCATTCACACTGACAGTGAAAAAGCAGATGGGTAGATGGGGAAAATGAACATCACAACTTGGAAAATTAACAAGGATTATTAGCAACAGAGATCGAATACAAGCTTGAAACTATGAACTAGAATTTGTATCAAAGCTTGCAACAAGTTATTAGACCTGTACAAACTTCCTTAATAATATGTTCAAGCCTTCACTATGATAAAGAAAAAGATAAAAAAAAAAAAGCTTTTCAACATTTAAGATCGGGCAATGGAAAGATCAGAAGTTGAAAAATAGCACATCATTTGATGAATCCGGGGAATTCAGGGGCGAAGCCAGGAATATTTTTGGGGGGGTGCTGAATTCTTTTTTTAAATAATATTTAATTATTTTTATGCTATTTGGATAACCTCAATAATATGTATAAATGTTTTTTTATTAATGGAAAACATACTTATACCTAATTATGAGGTATAATGAGCGTTACATTTCAAAATGTTTTATATGTTATAGAAGTTGGTAAGATTTCTTTTTCAATAATCATTAATATTAAAAATAAAATTCATTTCTAATAAAAATTTATGAAATAAAAGTCTTTTTTTTTAAATACATATAATAAGGATTGGTATACAAATTGTGTTGAAATTGGCGACAACTTTAACAGTAGAGGTCTGTGCAACGCACACGGGGTCTCAAGGGGTAACACCTCTGGGCTCGTAAGTGGTTTGGGTTTATACCATGTATAACTGTTGTAGGATTTTCTAAGGATTATAAGCTTGTGAATAAGATCCTAGTTATTTAGGTTTCTCTTCATAACATAGTGTACAAAGATATTATTCTCTTATATGAGTAATTTAGCAAATCATAGCAAATATATTCATTTTAACGGACTCACTGATGGTTCAGCTTGAATAGCAACAAGAAACTTTGTGATCCTTGTGTGATCAATAAGAACTTCAACCTTGGAAGTCTTCATGCCTATTTCTAGTTTGTGCTTTGAAAGATGAGCAAGCAATTTAAGGTGGCTTCCAAGGTTTAAAGATAACTCATAAGCTAACATCTACTTGTACAAAATATAAGAATTAATTAATGATGATGTATATGCACTTTTGTATATGTAGTACCACACTTATATATCTATTAAACGAGTTAACGACTTTTTCCCACCCAAAAAATAGCTCATTGACACTTTTCTACACCCACACTTTTAAAATATCATTTTACCACCCAAAAATTATATTCCTTTAACAATTTCTATTCAATAGATTGTGAGGACAAAAATACCCCCACCAAAGATTAACCCCCAATCATCGATGACCGAAACGCACCTCAACCAAATTTCAACACCTGAAATCGGCGTAAAATTGACACCACTTTCCCCATCTTCCCTCTCTCCCCACCTGATTCCACCCAATTTTACGCCAATCGCTACTAGGGTTTAAGTGATTTCTCTTGCTGGATTCTAGCAATTTCCGGCAACCAAAATCAAAATTGACACCACCCTTAGGCTCACCATCAAGCCCTTAACAAAACCCCCAACATTTTGGTGACTGAGCACTCACCGTTTGTCGGCCACTACGTATTTGGCTATATCACAATGTTACTGTTTCACGGTCAGATGCCGGCCATTATTGACACCAAAAATCACCATTGTCACCACCATTCCAACCCCCATCCTCACCTCTTCAAAACCCTTAACTCCACTCGCCCTCCCATCTCGCAGCTTGTCGCCAGTGACTTGCCATTGCTACAGTGAGGTAGTTGCATTTTTGCGACCCCAACCATCTGAAAATAGCCGGAATTTTTGTGTTGCTCTTTGAAGTGTTTGGGTTGTTGTTGGTGTGTTTTTCTAGTTGCCAGTCGTTCCCTTATCACTTACAACCTTGATACTTTGTTGCGGACACCACCTATTCGATTTTATTCCCCAACCATAAACCCATTTTTTCCCACTTGCAATCACCCCAAACTCAACAACAACGTTTACGACGATTGCCGCTAGTGGGGGTGATGCCCTCAACGATGAGTCGAATGGTGGGGTGGGGGATGATTTCCGATGGAGAAAGCGGCTGGAAAAAGGTTGAGAAATTGCTAAAGACGGCTGGCGTTTTAAGGGCGATTGAAGAAGCTGAAAGACCATCCTGCCTTTACTTATGGCAAACTTTTGACCGTCCTACCCTTCCTCACAACGAAAATGACTAATGGTGGATAGTAAAATGGTATTTTAAAAGTGTAGGAGTGGAAAAGTGTCAATAAGCTATTTTTTGGGTGGGAAGAAGTCGTTAACTCTTATTAAACGCTATAAAGCTATCCCAGTTGCATTTATGAAAAAGCTACGCATAATTGCACTTTATTTATCAACATTACAACTTGGGTAGAATACTACCAAGGCAACTATATAACATGATTCATGCAATTTCAGGAAATAAGCCTTCAGAACTGGGCTCTTAGGATTCACAATGGATTGCAAGACGTTAAATGTATATTAGGGTTGTCCTTGTAAAACTTTGTTAAAACCGTCCTGCTTTGTGAAGATAACTGCAGCAGCTTCATAGCCTAGAAAAACATATCAAATAGAAAGCAGTATTTCTCAGCCTTAATTCGTATATCTGGGTAGAGAAATTATCATTATATATATATGAAGCCAATTACAAAAGGGAAAACTTACCCCATCCACATCCAACATAAGCCCCAGCTCTAAAATACCTTCCTTCTTTGTAAGCAAAGGACGTAAATTTTCAGTAGACATAGGCATAATCTCCAAATTATCCTTCACAATGAAAGTCACTGGACCTTTTATAAATCCTCCGTCAACAGGAAATCCTGTGTTTGCAGGTGATGGAGGAACATAAGACACGGCAGAGGACATTTTTTGCTTGCACCGAGGACATAGCAAGTTTGGAACATCAGCCACAAATGAGTTACAATTAGAACATACGTATGATTTTCGATTATGCAGTTCATAATCAGAAAGCATAAGAGGGATTTCAGTGGCACATATTGGGGCTCGGGGATTTAGCAGTGCGTTCTTCTTTTGGTTTGGTTGCAAGTAGGAATCACTAAGACTTTCAATGGTCTCATAGAGTTTGGCTAGTGAACCCACCATGTCTTCTTTTAAGATCCTAGTGACAGTGGCAAGTGGCAGAGACAGAAGATGGAAGAGAAAATCTACAAAATCTTTGCCAGCTTCAGCAAAAACAACTTTGTCAGCATTTGTGTCAAAAAAAAGCTTCAAACTTATTTTGGCTTCTGTGGCATTTTCCATGGTTTCTTTGAAAATGTGCACAGAAGGTGCCTAGCCATATGAACCATGGACACATTGTTAAAGTTATATAAATAGGAAGAAGAAGAGTTGGTAATTAGGAATATATATTTGTATTTATTGCACGCCAAAGTTGGAATATCGTGGCCACGGTACTACTTTTTCTTTGTTTAATTAGGACTTTTAGAATCACAGTACTATGAATTGTTCCCCATTCATAATTCAATCCTTTACTTGGCTCGTAGGCTATGGGATTGTTTACCTTGCTTTAGAATATTTGAACTCTTCCTACTGGGAATGACGCCAGGAAAAGTCAAGTTAAATCTTGGCATCAAAATTTCTCTCGTTTACTTCTAGCTCATATTAATTAACTTGCATATATAGGAGTCAGTTGATTATATCATCATTTCAACAAGTAAATTAACTGTAGATTAAGCAAAGCATAATTTCCATCCTTAATACATCAAAGAGTTTTTGTAATATCAAGTGCAATGCAGAAACCAGGAAAACATATATATACTTGTTCTGTTAAACAAAAGGGGTAATGATTTTATAGCTTTCATGTCAAACTCTATCCATTGTCACTACTACAAACTCCTATCAACTCTCGCAAACAAGAAACTCTTATTATATGTAAAAGCTCCAAGAATTTTGTCTTTTTAACCACTTAAAAGACAAATTTCACACTCCTATAAACACTAACATGCAAAATTTTACTAAATTTTTTTTGTGAGAGTTTAGATCTGAATTTTGATTTCATATGGTATATGTTAAAATTCTAGTTTACGCACATATTCACATTGAAAGATAATTTTTTGTTATATTATACAAAAATAGTAATTTAACTAAATTTTTGTCTTTAAGTATTTATTTGAAATAAAAATTACCATTAACAAATTTTTTGTACTCAAATTCAAGTCTGCATTTAAAAAAAAAAATGAATATCCCCAAAATTAAATTCCATTTTGTAGGAATAGCCGAATAGACAGCCAGTAAAATAGATTTTTTCAAGAACTAAGATGAAAAAAACACTTCCAAATAAGCAACAATTCATGTTTTTGTTTTATAGTGTTTATCAATATTATAAATTTAACCCACCCATGGGTAGTCCTGACACAACGAGTTAACGTGATAAAATAAGGCTAGCACCCGGTTACACATTTAGAAATAATAACACAAGTCTCAGTCCATAAGCTTAAACCTTAAAAACAAAAGTAAAATCTGATTAATTTATTGAATATTCTATATCTTCAAAAGAAACAAATAATATGTTTATATACAGTGGTGATAGCCAACCCTAACAAGGCTCTAATTAACAAGGAAATAAAATCCTACTTAAACACGAAAACTAATTAAAATAAAAAAAATAAAATTTAACTAAATTAAAACTTCCTAAATCAACTAAACTCCTAATTAAAGTAGAAAACTACTTGAATTCCTAATATGAAACCCTAAATAAATAAGAAAATCAAATAAAGAAAGGGAAACAAAATTAAGTCCTAATTAAATCCTAATTTAACACTATTTTCCCTACATCAGACTCCTCCTCTTAAAAATAAACTCGTCCTCTGAGTTTCAATCTGGTGGGTGATAGTTGAAGTAGAGTAATAAGTCCTCCTTTGGAGCAAATAAATATCCTTTGTCATTGATCTTCCTAGGAGAGTTGTCAAGCACTATAGTCTTTAAGTTGAAATCGGGTGTCGTCGATGTTTCATCCTTTTGATCTTTAACTTGTATGTGTTCTTCTTGCTCAAGCTTCTCCTTTAGAACAACTTGCTTTTGCTTAAGCTTCTCCTTTAGAACAACTTGCTTTTGCTCAAGCTTCTCCTTTAGGATGGTTTGCTTTTTCTCTTGTTCAATCTTCTCTTCTTGGAGAACTCGTTCAGCTTCAATGTCTACTTTATGCTCAATCTCCTTTGACATGTGATCCTCAATTTGTAACATCTCACGATCTTCATTGGCTTTAAGAATTTCTTTAGAAAGTGCTTGATGATTCTTGTCTTCTTTCATAACTGCTGAGGCATGCATTCTTTGACGAAGAATTCTTTTTTTTTTTTTTTTTTTTTAATTCTTAATTGTGATTCTACATCAAAGTCTAATTAAAGAACATCAAACAATGTCTGATCAGGTTGTCAATCAATTTGAGTTCGTATGTTTACATTCAGCCCATTAAAGAATTCTAAAGCTACTCTATATGGATGTTCATTATAGTCAAGGTGGAGTAACAACCGTCGATATTCAACAATATATTTTCGGACAGATAACAAGATCTGCTTGTAATCAGGAGGAAGAAAATCCCCTTGTAACAGCTGCTTCATCTTGTACCAGGTTCCAACCGGTGCTTTCCCCTCATGAAATCTTCTAGCCTATAATCTTTCCCACCATGCAAAAACTCCTCCCTTCAACCTACATGCGACCAGTTTCACTCTTCTCCCCTCTGGGATCTCCATATATTCAAAAAACCTATCTACCTCTGCCATCTAATCAAAAAATTCCTCAATATCTAAATTTCCTCTAAAGCAAGGGATATCTACCTCTAATCTGAATTCATTGGATTCTCTGTCACCATACTGATTTCTGCCATACCCCATTTTCCTTTTAAGTTCTTCATAACAACCATCTTCTTCGTCTGACTCTTCCATGTAAACTGGCTGTCTATGTCTATTTGTAAAAACAGGTCTGCCAATAAGCCGTCCATGAGCGACATCATCCTCAGTACGTTGCCTTTCGTCATTCCTATTTTTGTTGGCATTTATGCTGAAAGCATCAAGTCAATTTGCAATTTCTTCAAAGCGTCATTCCAAAAGCTAGAATCTGAGATCTATTCGTTGCTTCAAAGCTCTCAACGCCACCCCTTGCGAGGTCTCAGCTATCTGATCTTCGTCATGAGAACCGTCGCCACCTACAACTTCATCACCTGCCATTAGATTAGACGAAATTTGCTTGCTTTGATACCAACTGACACAGCGAGTTAGCATGATAAAATAAGGCTAGCACTCGACTACACCTTTAGAAATGATAACAAAAGTCTCAATCCAGAAACTTAAACCTTAAAATCTGAAGTAAAATATGAATAATTTATTGAATATTCTATATCTTCAGAAGAAAAATATAATATGTTTATATAGGGTGGTTACGGCCAACCCTAACAAGACTCTAATTAACAAGAAAATAAAATCCTACTTAAACACGAAAACTAATTAAAAAAGAAATCACAACGGTTGACTAATTATAAAATAAGAAAGTAAAATTTAATTAAATTAAAACTTCCTAAATCAACTAAACTCCTAATTAAAATTGAAAATTACTTGAATTCCTAATATCAAACCCTAAATAAATAAGAAAATCAAATAAAGAAATGGAAACAAAATTAAATCCTAATTTAACACTATTTTCCCTACATCAAGTCCAACGTAAGGGTGAACCAAGGAGGCTATGTATGGCTTCAACCCACAATCTTAGATTTGATTCCCCGCTGGGAGGCCGCAATCCTAGGTTCGATTCCCCGTTGGGAGGCTGTAATCCTGGGTTCGATTTCCTCCTGGGGGCCACGGCGGTGGGTTTTTGTGGGATCAAGTTTTATTATCTGTAAGCAACTATTCATGTTTTTGTTTAATAGCTTCAACTTTATTGTGGTTGCCATGACCCATTTTTGAACGAAATAGAGACAATAACAGGAACAAAATATAATAGTAAAACAAAACAAACAGTAAACAAAGAAAATAATACGCACGATTTACCCTGGTTCACCCAATGTGGGCTACGTCCAACTGAGTCAATATTATTGCGGGACCCCCGAATGCGTCTCCGTTATCCATTAATACTGAAGTAGTCGACAATTCCAACAATGTTAGTGTGTATGAGTAAGAGGTGACTCAATGGACACATAGCGAAGCTATTAATAGCCGATCCATTGCATAGGAAGAGAACAGTTGGTAATGAGGAACCAAATATTTGTTGCAGGTCAATGGTAGAAATTTTCCTTGCTCAGGACATTTCGAATCATGGTACTGGAAATATAGAAAAGAGCTCATCATGAATTAAATCTTGAGGCACTAAGAATAATCCCTGATATGGCCTGTAGGCTATGGAAGAAATTGCCATTATGTAGAAAGTTGAGTTCTCTGTACGGGAATGACGGTAACAGTAAATTAAATCTTAAGACACTACTCCAAACTTCATTTATTTTTTCCATAAACTTCAGAAATGTAAAGGAAAACACATAATTCAATTCACAGGTGTGTTAAGCAAACGTAATTTGCATCATTTATTCATCAAATAGTTGCAATGCTGAAACCGAACAATACATTTTCTGTTAAACATGTTGCAGAGTAGTGACAAGTTATAGATTTCAATTATCAAACTCATCAATGATTCCTACTCCCCACATGGAATGTATTTTAATTAGACACATCAATGTCCTTGGGTTCTTTCTTTAAGAGGAAGACAGAAGTAAGAGCTGCATCTGATTGCAAGGAAGTCCCCAACAGCTCCAGGACCTGAAATGGAAAGAAAATCATTATGAACCTAAAGATATATTTTCAAACTGAAGTTTTAATGGATTAGAACCGTAATATTCCCACCAAAACACTTCGGACCTACTATTTCATTGATTGCAGAACCATATTATTAATCAACATACCATCAGTTTGAACCATTGTTTCTCAAGACTAAACAGAATTTAAATAATACAAAGAAGCCAGAGATGAACTCGTTACCTCATCAGCGCCAAATTCAACAACTCTTTTCTCTAGGGCACCAATATCCTTAACATGTTCCTGTATCAGATCAATGCTAGATATCATTGACCCAGGTGTCACTAACAAATCATCTGTCACCATATAAGTAACCAATTTATTCACAATACCACCCTCACAAACCGAATCCATCTTCAACAAGCTGACCACTTCGTAAGACATAGAAGAACCACAATGAGGACAACGTTTGCTAGTTTCATCTGACACACACCGGCAACGGTTAGAACAATTGTAAATTTTTTTCTGATTTGGTTGTGTACTACCTCCGGGCACCAGCAAGGCAGAAGTTTTCTCTTGGGTTTTCAATAACTCAAGTTTGTTTTGATTAGGTTGCAAGTAATCTTTATTCAGGTTTTCAAGGCTCGGGTACAGATTTCCGATGCAGCCAACCATGTTTGCGTCGCGGAGAAGCTTGATGACAGTTCCTAGTTTCAAAGAGAGGAGATTGAACAGAACGTCCACGAAATCTTTTCCGGCTTCTGCAAAGAGGACTTTCTTTGCTCCTTTGTCTATCATTAACTTCAACGTTAACTTATTTGGGGGTGTGGTGGTTGTTGCCATGATTGATAATTGTCCACACAGAGAAGAGAAACAGTGGGCAAATAGGGAAAAAAAGATTTGTAGCACACAAAGTTTGGTTCCCCTTCTTGCATGCCATTAGTATTTTTTTATATGAAGTGACATAGTCCATATGTTTTTTATTAATATAAAATCAAATACTCTCTTTAAATTTCTTCAAGTTTGGTACTACTTTTTCTTTGTTTAATTAGGACTTTTAGAATCATAGTACTATGAATTGTTCCCATTTCATAATTCATTCCTTTACTTTGCTTGTGGGCTATGGGATTAATTACCTTGCTTTAGAATATTTGAACTCTTCCTGCTGGGAATGACGCCTGGAATAGCCAAGTTAAATCTTGGCATCGAAATTTCTCTCGTTTACTTCTAGCTCATATTAATTAACTTTCATATATAGAAGTCAGTTTATTCTATCATCATTTCAACAAGTAAATTAACTGTAGATTAAGCAAGTATAATTTCCATCCTTAATACCTCAAAGAGTTGTTTGTAATATCAGGTGCAATGCAGAAACCATCAAACATATATCTACTTGTTCTGTTAATCAAAAGAGGTAGTGATTTTATAGCTTTCATGTCAAACTCCATCCATGATCACTATTACAAGCTCTTATCAACTCTCGCAAACAAGAAACTCCTATATAGTATATGTGAAAGTTCGTAGAATTTTGTCTTTTTGACCACTGAAAAGACAATTTTTTTATTTTATTTTTTATAATCAGAGTGTTTGATGAATTTACATGTACCTCAACTAATCCCTAAGGTTTATCGAACACTCTAGAAACTCAATATTTCAAGTAAGCCTTAAATGTGGTATGTGGCTCCAATGTGATTTGAACTCAGTAAGTCAATGAAGAGAGCAAATCTTCTTGACTACTAGGCCAATCACTTGGGGGTAAAAAAAAAAAAAAAATACTTTACACTGATTACTGTGAAAAGACGAATTTCACACTCATATGATGTTGTTTGTGAGAGTTTAGGTCTGAATTTTGATATCATATGGCATATGTTAAAATCCTAGTTTACTGGCACATATTCACATTGAAAGATAATTTTTTTGGCATATTATACATAAATAGTAATTTATCTAAAATTTTGTCTTGTAATATTTATTTGAAATAATAATTACCATTAACCAATCTTTTGAATACGAAAGTTAAGTCTGCACTTAAAAAAAAATTATGAATATCCCCAAAATTAAATGATATTTAAAAATCTAGGTTATCATGTAATAACATCTCCAACATTGATTAGTAATGGCTTAATCTAAAGATTATAAATTGATATTAAAAAATAAAAAAAATTATGTTATTGTAATTATGCATTGATCTTGCCTTACATTTATCACATTAAGTTTACATAAATTCCATTTAGTAGTAATAGACTTCCCCATAATTAAGATAAAAACACTTCCACCAAATAAGCAACGATTCATGTTTTTGTTTTATAATGTTTATAAGTGACTTAAAATCACAAATGTCCTTAAAGTTGTAGTTAATATAAGTACAAATATTATTCTGTAAGCTAGTTTCAGGAGCATTTTAAGAAGGCAATAATATACTTTTATTTATCAATATTATAACTTTTGCAGAATACTACCAAACAACAATAGTAACTTTGCCGGCTTCTGCGAAAATAACCTTGTCAGCCCTTGTGTCAACAAAAAGCCTCAGCTTTATGTGGTTGCCATGGCTGATTATAGCCGATCCATTGCGTAGGAAGAGAACAGATGGTGATGAGGAGGAATCAAATATTTGTTGCAGGTCAATGGTAGAAATTTTCCTTGCTCAGGAATTTCGAATTTTGGTACTGGGAATTTAAAAAAGAGCCTATCATGAATTAAATCATGAGACACTAGGAATAATCCTTTACCTGGCTTGTAGGCTATGGAAGAAATTGCCTTTATGTAAAGTTTAAGTTCTCTGTACTGGTATGAGGCTTCCAGAAACTTCAGAAATGTAAAGGAAACGCATAATTCAATTCACAGGCGTGTTAAGCAAACATAATTTGCATCATTTATTCTGCAAATAGTTGCAATGCTGAAACAGGACAATACATTTTCTGTTAAACATGTTGCAGAATAGTGACAAGTTACAGATTTCAATCAAACTCCATCAATGATGCCTACTATCAGAGTCTGACCCAAGCCCAAGTCCATACTAGTCCAATATTCAATTCTAAAAGGCTTGATCCAGACTTGACTCAGAAGCATCAAAGAATATGTCAGAGAATATCTCTAGAATCGTCCAGAATTCTTTCATTAAAAAAGAAACAGAATGGCATTAGGATTATATTTCTTGTACACTTAATCCTAGCCACCCATCGTAATGGATAAATCATATATAAAGCTAGCTAGTGGTATTCAATTGAGAGCCACACAATAGTGTTTTTCTCTCCATCTCTGCTGGTTTATTCAAACTTACATCTTGTAAGACTACTCCCCACAAATGGATTTTAATTAGTCACATCTGAGTTCTACTAAGAGCTGCCTCAACAGCTGCAGGACTTGAAATGGAAAGAAAATCATTATAAACCTAAAGATGTATTTTCAAATTAAAGTTTAAACAGGTTAGGACCGAAATATTCTCACCAAAACACTTCAGATGTTCTAATTCATTGATTGCAGAACTATATTAGTAATCAACATACTATCAGTTTGAACTTTGAACCATTCTTTCTCAAAACTAAACTGAATTTAAATAATACAAAGCCAGAAATGAACTCCTTACCTCATCACCGCCAAATTCAACAACTCTTTTCTCCAGGGCACCAGTATTCTTAACATTTTCCAGTATCAGATCAATGATCATTGACCCAGGTGTCACTCAAGTCATCTGTTGAATCCATCTTCAAAAAGCTGCCCACTTCGCAAGACATAAAAAGACCACATTGAGGAAACCGCATCTGCCACATACTGGTGATAGTTACCACAATTGTAAAACTTTTTCTGCTTTGGTTGTGAACTAACTCCGGGCACCAGCAAGGCAGAAGTTTTCTCTTGGGATTTCAATAACTCAAGTTTGTTTTCATTAGGTTGCAAGTAATCTTCATTCAGGTTCTCAAGGCTCGGGTACAGGTTTCCGATGCAGGCTTGCAGCCAACCATGTTTTCATCGCGGAGAAGCTTGATGACAGTTCCTAGATTCAAGGAGAGGAGATTGAACAGAATGTCCACGAAATCTTTTCCGGCTTCTGCAAAGAGCACTTTGTTAGCCCCTTTGTCTATCATTAACTTCAACCTTAGCTTGTTTGGGATGTTGTGGCTGTTTCCATGATTGATACTTGTCCACGCAGAGAAGAGAAACAGTGGGCAAATAGGGAAAAAAGATTTGTGACACGCAAGTTTGGTTCCCCTTCTTGCCTGCCATAAGTATTTTATATGAAGTGACACAGTCCATATGTTTTTTATTGATATAAAATCGAATATTCACTTTAAATTTGATTTGGAAATGGAGTGTGCCATGGCTGATTTCAGAGTGAATAGGGAAGATGACAATATGGAGACATGATAAAACTATATATAGCCAATCAAAAATGGATATATGCTGCACGCCAACAAGTAAACTTTTGTTAACAAAATTTAGATTAGAATCTTTGTTCTCTGCTGTTCTCCATACATTCCTTTACTTGTCTTTTAGGTTATGAAATCAATTACCTTGGTTACCAACTTTTAATATTCTTTCCAACTGGGAATGAGGCAAGCAGAAATTGACTTGTATCTATCATTAACTTGCATGTGCAGGATTCAATCTGTCATCATAACAAGAAGTAAATTATATGTAGATTAAGCAAGCATATTACCCATCATTAATACATCTAAGTGGTTGTTTGTAACACCAGCAGCAATCCAGAAACAGTAAAATACATTGCTTATTTAAACACAGAGGGATAAGATAATCTATAGCCTTGTGTCAAACTATCCCATTTGAATCAGTCACTGCAACATCCTCGGCCCCTTTGTTCCTGAGGAAGACAGAAGTAAGACCTCCAGTTTGACTGCAAAGAGGTCTTCAACGGCTCCAGAACCTGATACTTAATAAAACTGTGATGACGAAGAAACCTCAATTAATCTATACTGCAGCACAGCCTAATTACTAAAGGGTTTAAAATGCTGTAGAAAGTTCATTTATGGTCTTTTTTCATGTAACCATATGCAACACTTATCTTAATGATTAGCTCCAACCCAGTTTAGGCCATCGCTTACACTTTTTTAATTAAAAAGTTCAAAAAGTTATTTCATGATACTGAAATCAAAATTCAAATAATAGAAAGAAGCAAGACAAGAATTTCTTACTTCCTCTCAGCAAAATTCAACAATTCTTTTCTCTAGGGCACCGATATCCTTTAAATTCTCTTGTAGCAGATACCTGAGTTTTTGCCACAAGATTACCACGTTTTCTTCTTTGGTTGTGAACTAGCTTGGGGCGCAAGGGAGACAGAGGCTGTCCATGGGGTTTCAAGAGCTCAGATTTATTTTGATTGGGTTGCAAGCTAGCTTCATTCAAGTTTTCAAGGCTTGGGTATAGCCATAGGTTTCCTATGAAGCCAACCATGTTTGCAAGGCATAAGAGCCTGATGACAGTTCCAAAATTTAAGGAAAGGAGATTGAGCCAAACAGCACTTTGTTGGCTTGTTTATCAATCATTGACTTCAACCTAAACTTGCCTGTGTTTGTGGTCGTTGTTGGCATGAATGATACTTGTTCTGCTCAGGGAAGAGAACCGACAATTAGGAAAAAGATTTTTCAGGCAAAGTTTGAATTTTCCCCTGCCGGTTATTAATATTTGTAACATCTACGATTATGCTGAAAGATCCAAGCAAATTTATACAGACCACAATTTAAATGAAATAGAACTATATAATCAAGTATCTGATAGGATTCCACTTTGACATAAATTTTTGTTTTCTTCAAAATCTTGGCATCTACTCTTATGGCTTTTGAGAAGAAGCAGCTAGATTAACCTTTCACATGCTAGCATATATGTTGCTGGAGTTTGTGCTAATAGTATTATTATAGGATAAGAATCCATCTCACTCTTACCAGGTTTGAAGAGGTTGGCTTCATTTATGTTTATAAGTTGGAAAAACGAACTTAAAAGTACTTTGAATTCTTCTGTTTGATTTCATAAAATTATGAAGATGGTCATTAAAAAATTGTATAGAAATACATGATATAACTTTAGTGAGATATATCCACTTCTTACTGATGCAAAAAGATGCAAAAATGTTCTTCATGAAGGTAACCCTGTCAGTCAAGCAAAATCATTTGCAAAGAGAAATGAATGAAATGATATCAGACAGCTGAAGTAAACTCATGTATGCCAATTTTCTCTCCGTACCAAAATTAGATTTTGGGGCAAACTTAGAAGATCCGTTATGAAGCATAAGAAATGGAATGCTTTTAGTCATGCTTGTTACAACTTACAAGATCAATGTCATTCATATCAAGAATTACCATTAACCTGTTGAGAGCAACAGCAATAATATGTGATTCTAGCATGTTTAATCTTCATTTTAACTGTTCAAAGCATTCATCTGCTTAAAACTTAAGAATCCACATCAAGAAAGAGCACTATCGAAAAATTCCAAACTCTGTGAGTACAGCATTACCAAGCAATTCACTATTGCAGTCTCAATCATTCAACCAAGAAATGGCCAATATGGTATTATGATGAAAGGGAGAAGATAACAACAATAAGGAAGTAACTAAACCTGCTCAGGAAGATATAATACTAGAAAAAGAATTGCCTTAATTAGCTCTGGGGATTTATAACAAATTTTGGAATTTATAATTTTATATTAGCTGCAAGTGGAGAAAATTAGAAACAGAGCACATTTTATATGTTAACTTCTTGAATATATATACAAAACAAATAAGGCCATATCAACAAGGCACAGAAAATAAACACTTACATTCAGCATGGAGCCTAACTGGACAATCACTTCACCCAACTTGGTGAAGGCCATAAGATCTTAGAATATTCTGCAAAGAGGTGGCGAACAGTCCGGTCCTTCAAGTAAAAAATCGCACCATCTATTCCAGGGAGAAAACCATCAATTCTGAAGGGACCATGTTTGAAATAAACAGAATTCCCTTTACATCCGGAGAACTCTTTAGCCGCAAGAGAGAAGGAACAATCATCACCCAGAAAAAACACTCTATCCTCCAATCCATCCTCCACCTCAACCCACTCACACATCTCTTCATCAAGCTTATAAACCTTGAAACGATGCCGTTCATGTCTCCATGGCCAGCACTTGACAATTAATGTTGGTGTCTTAGGCCGGAGAATGCTAAGGAAAAGAAAAATGAGAAAATAAATTGAGAGAAGGTTATAAAATGTTTCATTAAGCTTTCAATTTATACAGCACAACAGCCCAAAATATCCACTGTTACACCAACTTTTGCAGAGATATTTTACATATTTGAATTTAAATTTAAACATCCAACTAATACATGTACAAAGCCTTTCAATTACAAGTCTTAATCACACCTAAACATATCAGCAAAATACACCAAACTCAGCAGCTCACACACGGCAGAATGCAAGACAAAAACAGGAGACTTTTGGCGCCAGAAACGTTTCAAACTCCTAACTGAAATTCTGTTAAATTTCCAGCAAAATATCACTGCATCAACGATTAAAAACAAATCATTAAATGACTTTACCAAGTTGGTCCAAAAAGTGAGCCTCTCCAGCGGACCCGCCACTTGAGTAACAGTCAAAGACGTATAATCCACAGAGATGGTAAGACCTTTGGCCGTGGAAGCATAGAACTAGTTATGATGGTAAACTATATCACCAGAAAAATAATTGGGAAAGCTTATTGAAGACCATTTTTTGTCTAAATTTCTGCACACAACCAGCTCTCCTTGATCTATCGCCATAACCGCAAACCCATCACCAGTCACATCATGAGATGAAACAACAGCTTTGCTAAAAACAATGGACTTACTAAATTCATCAACCAATTCAAGTCTGTATGCTTTGGCTACTTCCTTAACCCGATAATCCAACAAGTTGAATGATCTGGGTAACTTTGTCAGCTTGGATAACTTGTTGGACAAATCTCCAAGATCAAGGCTAGAGAGTGGATCCTGAAGTCGGACTTTACCGGAGTTCAACTCTTGGATTTTGACTAACCATGTGTCTCGGTGGTTGGCGTGCATGGGAGATTGGGGTAAGGGGTTGGATAGCGTAAAAAGTGAAATGGGCAAGTTCCAAATGTCCAGGAGAAGCGTGATAGATAGAGGTTGGAGAGACAGAAATGTTGAGGTGTGAAAGTGGGGGCGGAGAAGGGAGTGAGGAAAGAAAAGAGTTACAAATGGCGCGAAACCGGAGGATATCCGTTCTTTCGTGGAAGCGTTTTGCGATGGAGATGAGAAGGTCTTCTGGAAGAGAGGACCAATCAGATGAAGAACTGTCCACGCTTGGTGAAGAAGAAGATGACGATGACGTTGATGATGATTGATCTTGATGGAGTACTCCAGTTAATTGTTGGTGCAATTTACAGTATCTTCCTTTATTCCTTCTCCAGCAAACAAGAAGAAGGATGAATCTAAAGTGATTGATGGGTTAGGCGGTTGAGGAGACCATATTTGTAGTTTAAAGATAGTCAATTTGTCGTTTAACGGATTTTCAAAATGTTTTATATGATATAGGAGCTGGTAAGATTTCTTTTTCAATAATGACTAATATTAAAAAATAAAATTCATTTCTAATAAAAATTTATGAAATAAAAGTTTTTTTTTTTAACATATATAATAAAGATTGGTATACAAATTGTGTTGAAATTGGTGACAACTTTAACAGTAGAGGTCTGTGCGACGCACATGGGATGGGTAGCACCTCTGGGCCATAAGTGGTTTGGGTTTATACCATATTACCATGTATAACTATTATTAGATTTTCTAAGGGTTATAAGCTTATGAATAAGATTCTAGTTATTTAGGTTTTTCTTCGTAACATGAAATACAAAGACATTATTCTCTTGTATGAGTAATATAGCAAATCATAGCAAATATATTCACTTTGTGATCAATAAGAACTTCAACCTTGGAAGTCTTCATGCCTATTTAGCTAACATCTACTTGTACAAAATATAAGAATTAATTAATGATGATGTATATGCACTTTGTATATGTAGTACCACACTTATATATTTATTAAACGAGTTAAAAACCTTTTCCCACCCAAAAAATAGTTTATTGACAGTTTCCCATTACCACACTTTTAAAATATCATTTTACCACTAAAAAATTATATTACTTTAACAATTTCTATTAAATAGATTGTGAGGATGAAAATACCCCCACCAAATATTAACCCCCAATCGCCGATGTCAACCAAATTCCAGCACCGAAAATCAGCGTAAAATTGACACCACTTTCCCCATCTTCCCTCTCTCTCCACCTCATTCCACCCATTTTACGCCAATCGTCGCTAGGGTTTGCACGATTTCTCTTGCTAGATTCTGGCGATTTTTGGCAACTAAAATCAAAATTGACACCACCCCTAGACTCACCATCAAGCCCTTAACAAAACCCCCAACATTTTGGCGCCTGATCACTCACCGTTTGCTGGCCGCTGCTTATTTGGCTATTTCGCGATGTCACTGTTTCACAGTCAGATGCCAGCCATAATTAACACCAGAAATCACCATTGTCACCACCATTCCAACCCCCATCTTCACCTCTTCAAAACCCTTACCTCCACTCGCCCTCCCATCTTGCAGCTTGCCACCAGTGACTTGCCATTGCTACAGCGAGGTAGTTGCATTTTTGCGACCTCAACCATTTGAAAAAAGCCGGATTTTTTGTGCTGCTTTTTAAAGTGTTTGGGTTGTTGTTGGTGTGTTTTTTCTGGTTGTTGGCCGTTCCCTTATCACTTTTAACCTTGCTACTTTGCTGCACACACCACCTATTCGATTTTCTTCCCCACCCAAAAACCCATTTTTTCCCACTTGCAATCACCCCAAACTTAACAACAATGTTTGCGCCAATTTTACGATGATTGCCGCTAGTGGGGGTGATGCCCTCAACGATGAGTCGAATGGTGGGGTGGGGAATGATTTCTTATAAAGAAGGCGGTCGAAAAAGGTTGAGAAATTGCTGAAGACGGCTGGCGTTTTAAGGGCGATTGAAGAAGCTGAAAGACCATCCTGTCCTTACTTATGACAAACTTTTGACCGTCCTGCCCTTCCTCACAACGAAAATGATTAATGATAGATAGTTTAAAAGTGTAGGAGTGGAAAAGTGTCAATAAGCTATTTTTTTGGGTGGGAAAAAGTCGTTAACTCTTATTAAACGCTATAAAGCTATCCCAGCTGCATTTATGAAAAAGCTACGTATAATTGCACTTTATTTATCAACATTACAACTTGGGTAGAATACTACCAGGCAACTATATAACATGATTCATGCAATTTCAGGAAATAAGCCTTCAGAACTGGGCCCTTAGGATTCACAATGGATTGCAAGACGTTAAATGTATATATTAGGGTTGTCCTTGTAAAACTTTGTTAAAACCGTCCTGCTTTGTAAAGATAACTGCAGCAGCTTCATAGCCTAGAAATACATATCAAATAGAAAGCAGTATTTCTCAGCCTTAATTAGTATATCTGGGTAGAGAAATTATATATATATATATATATATATATATATATATATGAAGCCAGTTACAAAAGGGAAAACTTACCCCATCCACATCCAACATAAGCCCCAGCTCTAGAATACCTTCCTTCTTTGTAAGCAAAGGACGTAAATTTTCAGTAGACATAGGCATAATCTCCAAATTATCCTTCACGATGAAAGTCACTGGACCTTTTATAAATCCTCCGTCAACAGGAAATCTTGTGTTTGCAGGTGATGGAGGAACATAAGACACGGCAGAGGACATTTTTTGCTTGCACCGAGGACATAGCAAGTTTGGAACATCAGCCACAAATGAGTTACAATTAGAACATACGTATGATTTTCGATTATGCAGTTCATAACCAGAAAGCATAAGAGGGATTTCAGTGGCACATATTGGGGCTCGGGGATTTAGCAGTGAATTCTTTTTTTGGTTTGGTTGCAAGTAGGAATCACTAAGACTTTCAATGGTCTCATAGAGTTTGGCTAGTGAACCCACCATGTCTTCTTTTAAGATCCTAGTGACAGTGGCAAGTGGCAGAGACAGAAGATGGAAGAGAAAATCTACAAAATCTTTGCCAGCTTCCGCAAAAACAACTTTGTCAGCATTTGTGTCAAAAAAAAGCTTCAAACTTATTTTGGGTTCTGTGGCATTTACCATGGTTTCTTTGAAATGTGCAAAGAAGGTACCTAGCTATATGAACCATGGACACATTGTTAAAGTTATATATATATAGGAAGAAGAAGAGTTGGTAATTAGGAATATATATTTGTATTTATTGCACGCCAAAGTTGGAATATCGTGGCCACGGTACTACTTCTTCTTTGTTTAATTAGGACTTTTAGAATCATAGTACTATGAATTGTTCCCCAGTCATAATTCAATCCATTACTTGGCTTGTAGGCTATGGAATTGTCTACCTTGCTTTAGAATATTTGAACTCTTCCTACTGGGAATAACGCCAGGAAAAGTCAAGTTAAATCTTGGCATCAAAATTTATCTCGTTTACTTCTAGCTCATATTAATTAACTTGCATATACGGGAGTCAGTTGATTCTATCATCATTTCAAGAAGTAAATTAACTGTAGATTAAGCAAGGCATAATTTCCATAATACATCAAAGAGTTGTCTGTAATATCAAGTGCAATGCAGAAACCAGACTTGCTCTGTTTAACAAAAGGGGTAGTGATTTTATAGCTTTCATGTCAAACTCTATCCATGATCACTACTACAAACTCCTATCAACTCTCGCAAACAAGAAACTCTTATTATATGTAAAAGCTCGAAGAATTTTGTCTTTTTAACCACTTAAAAGACAAATTTCACACTCCTATAAACTCTAACATGCAAACTTTTACTAATTTTTTTTGTGAGAGTTTAGATCTGAATTATCATATGGCATATGTTAAAATTCTAGTTTACACCATATCCACATTAAAAGATAATTTTTTGGTATATTATACAAAAATAGCAATTTAACTAAATTTTTGTCTTTAAGTATTTATTTGAAATAATAATTACCATTATCAAATTTTTTGTACACAAATTCAAGTCTGCATTTTAAAAAAGTATGAATATCCCCAAAATTAAATGATTTTAAGAAACATAGGTTGTCATGTCAAACCATCTCCTCTATTGATTAGTAATTGCTTAATCTAAATATTATAAATTGATATTAAAAAAAAAATTTATTTGATTGTAAGTATGCACAGATCTTACCCTACATTTATTGACATGACCCGTCCCAAATTTCCTCATCCCGTAGGATCCGGGCGCTCTCACAAGACTCGGATACCCGAGACGTGCCATGTAGAAAAACTGTAAAACCTATTAAAGAACTTACTTTTTCTGAATAACATCATAGTATTTTCATTTCCTAACATCTCAAAAAAATAAAAATAAAAACGTACACCATCTTTCATTTTACAAAAGAAAAGATTTAGGAAAACTTGTGATTCCAGGTTTTCCACTTATACAATACATTCCGAAACATAAACAAAATGAAATACATGATGGGAAACATGAGGTTTTGAAACGAAAGTCCAAAAATACAATATGACATAAATGTAAAACCCACATAAAAAGATGTCGATGCGTGGCACAGCCTTGAGCGGTGACTCACTGCTCGGCACGATCTCCCTGTAAACCTGGGGGAGAAAAAACATTTTTTTGAAAGGGGGTGAGCTAAAATACTCAGTGAGTGCGGGGAAAAGGGAAGTTTGCAAAACATTCGTCAAACAAAAGTTATGGCATGCAATGGTTCTTATAAAATACTGAAAACAACATGATTCCATGAACATGATATGGTGGTAGCAAATCATTCATGTATACATGCATAACTCATTTCTATTTGTTCTAAGTATTATAATTGACAACAATTTATGAATCCTAGCTCATCACTAAATGTTATGAATCCTAGCTCATCACTAAATGCTGAAAACTCTTTTATGAGAACTTAAAGAATAGTTGTAAATGCTTACGCTTCTAAAGACAATGTTTTCTATAAATCATGCTACAAACATCGAATGTTTCATAT